GCCCTTTGGATTCGTATCAAGAAAAAGAGGAACTTTTTGAAACCAAAAGCATGTAAAGAGAAGAAATTGACGTACCTGGAGTGCGTGAGAGAAACGGCTGAACTTGCGGAGCATCTTGATGATGGAGTGAAGCTCCGAAGTCTTAACCAGATTCCCCTGGTCAAGCCATCCTTCCAACACTCTGATTATCGAAGCAGAGGGATCGCCTGATCTCGCGACCCGACGCTGCAGAGTGTCGTAAGGATCCAACGGAGAAGGTACGCCGGTCCTGGAGGAGGAGTGATAAAGGAAGCTCCTGAGAATGTGATTTGGCTTTGGACGAACAAGAGGAAGAAGAAGATGCTTCATCATTCTTTGGCCGGTCCGGTGATACAGATTACAAACAGAGAACTAGGGCTTAGGTTGGGTTTAACATTCTTTTGATTCTTTGGCCGGTCCGGTGAGATTGAAATTTGGAGAAAAATCAAAAATTTGATCGATTTTGTAACGAAATCAGCTTCAAGCTAAGCAGAGAACTGAATCAAATTACTGAATTTAATTGTAACGAGACGTCGTCGTTTTGTGCTCTTTACAATTGGTTTGGTTAAAATTTCGATTCCAAAATTATTAATAACGTTTTACTTTTGGATGCAAATATTTCCTTTTAAATTTCCGAAATTTTCTCTCCTCCTGTAACTTTGATTCACTAAAAAAGAAACGATCATTAACCAAAAACTTATGGGGAAAAAAAGAGGAAGAGAGGAGGAAACAGAGAAACAATGGAGATTTCTCCTTACTGTCTGCTTTCTCTTCTTCCCATTTTCCTCCTCTCTGGTTTCTCCCTCTCATGTAATTCTCCTCATTTCTCTTCAATTTCTTACATTATTTTCACGAGTTTAGAAATGATTTGGTTTTTATTTTCTTGTCTTTTTTGGTATTCATATATGAAAGAAAAGCAAGCAATCTTTTAAATTTCTTAAGACATTTCTCGATTTGAATTTGCAGATGATCAATTGGATCCTCACGCAGCCACAAGCCGAGTTCTTCTTCAAGCAAAATCAAGTAAGACCATCCCTCATTATCGATGATTTCCATAACTTAATTCCGATGTTTAAAATATAAGTAGACACATTAATCCAGATGTGGATCTTTTGTTATTTGATCTTAAACAGCCTGCAAAGAAGATTTTGCTAGCAAGAACTACACAATCATAACAAGCAAATGCAAAGGGCCAAATTATCCGGCAAAGGTGTGTTGCTCCGCCTTCAAGGACTTTGCTTGCCCTTTCGCAGAAGCTCTTAACGACGACAAGAACGATTGTGCCTCCACAATGTTCAGCTACATCAACCTCTACGGTCGTTATCCTCCTGGAATCTTTGCCAACATGTGCAAAGAGGGTAAAGAAGGTCTCGACTGCACCAATGTCACCGAGTCTGCATCCGCAACTTCTGATTCTATCCTCCAAGCCCCCGCCAACGCATCTCTCGCGGTTCTTTCTACCTTATTCCTTGTTCTCTGTCTTTTGCTCTTGTCATCGTGAAATCTTGGTAACACACCTCAGAACATGATCCACGAGTAAAGAACACGTTATATATGCATGTCTCTTGGTGTTATGCACTCAACTCTTTCTTTTTTCAATCTTCTCCTGTTCTTCCATATTACTCAAGAAGCAAGAATAGAATCTAAAGTTTCAAAAAGACAATGCCATAAGCTTATTATCCAACTGATTATTGAGTTTATTACACTCATGAATTGATCACCATATATAACTTGCAAGGTTCATCTAAATTTCTCACAACACCTAAATGTGTGTGTAGCTACGTGATTGCTCGCTACCATCAATCATTACAAAGAAACAACGGTTAAGATCATCATCATCTTACATAGAACTCGGGGCCAACATGTGTGAATTAAGCTTCGCTCATCATCTAATCATCATCATTCCTTCTTTTCCTGTAACCCATACAACAAACCCTTCTTAGCTCAAGAGTCAAGACTTAACACGAACATGTTCATACAAGTAGCAACTAGATAAACAACACCAAAGGCAACGCATAGAAAATGCTCATATCGGATTGCATAAACACAAGAAACAAGCTTTCTCCAACAATTTAGTTGAGCATAGTGATTACAGATACCAATGGACACACTTATTCCCCACAACAAGAACAAAACCACTAAAGTTTCTCAGTCAAGCCAAGTGACTAGATCCCATAAATCATCAAAGGAAAAATACAGTCAATGTACAGGAGATGATTTCCTGCAACTTAGTGATCAAAGCACTCTAATATACAGCCAAGAGACTACTCTCCACTCTCCTCCAAATCAAACCTCCAACAAAAAAGACTTCAAGTTTTGAGCTTTCTAGTTACCTCTGCCGTGTTGATGGAGAAGCCACCACTAGTGAGAAGCCTCTCAACGTATTTCCCCATGATATCAACCTCAAGGTTCACTTTTTGACCAATATTCTTGGTCGGAATCACAACTTTCTGCTGCGTATAAGCGACCATCATGAAATTGAAGCAGCTCTCATCATCAAACACATCAACCACAGTCAAGCTCGTCCCATCCACCGCCACAAATCCTTTGGGCACAATGTATTTCAGCAAACTCTTGTCTGCTTTCACCTTCACCCACAAGGAATCTCCTTCCACCTCTTTCGAAACGATCACTCCCGTACCGTCCACGTGTCCCTGCACCACGTGTCCTCCCATACGGCTCACCGGCTGCAGCGCACGCTCCAGATTCACCGGAGATCCTCTCTCCAGGTCCTCCAGCGACGTTTTCCGCAGCGTCTCCGGTGATAACCCGACGGTGAACTCTTCGGCGTCGAATTCCGTCACTGTTAGGCAAGTCCCGTTCACGGCGATGCTGTCGCCGAGCTTGACGTCTTCCAGGACCACTCTGGCGCCGATTTTGAGATCGAAACCGCCGTGGTCGGCCATTCCGAGACTATTGACTTCGCCCATCTCTTCAACGATTCCGGTGAAGACGGATCGGATGGTGAGATTTTGGCTCCGGTGGGTTCTGGATCCTCCACATGTAAGAAGCTTCGAAGAGGAATGAAATCTGAGATTTGTTCTGAATTGTGGAGGAAATGGTTTGGGAAGCAAAGAGAGAGAGCGAGTGGA